AAATACACCGAATTGGGGGGGGGGGGGCTGCGACGCATTGGTACCTGATATTCTCACTTAATTCCGAGATAGGTACACATGCAACGATATGTGCTTACCGTCAAAGACGACACACAAACCGCGACGGACGTGAGCACACCTTGGTTTTCGGGTGACGCACGTGGTGGGAGACAAAGCTGTCAAATTCGCTCACCTTCTCTGGACCTCCTGCCGAACCCTGTCCATCTGGCGACGGATGTAGGACAACTGTCGAGAACAGACAAATGTTGGGCATCGCGCTGAGGTTGAAAGAGTAGGGCTACCTTCGGGGGAGGTTTGGTTGTTGAGACGCTGGTCGAGGCAAGTGGGTGAACAGTCACTACCGATGTGTGTTCTCCATTGAAACTTTTCCCGTGTGACGTGGACACGTTCTAAAATTCTTGGGTCCTTGCGTGACGCATGTATGTAGCACGTTACCGCAATTTTGACGCCGTCAGATGCTACTGACAACGACGCACGTGCATGGCCCAGCCGACGAGTGCCGCGGAGGGAGGAGCCTGGTTAGAAATGAGTTGCCAGAGCTTGAGGAGGGAAGCAGAAGGATCGAGCCAGGCGCGATGAACAGACCAGGCGATGACGCCCATCACGACGAAAGGGTTGAAGGTCACCTAGAATCGCATAAACGTTCACGAGGTGCGCGTTCGCAGAGGACAACGGTGAGGGAAGGTATGAGTTCGCCGCGGAGAAGGAACGACACCTGTCTTTATTGATGTGCGATTATTTCTATTCAGAACGAGAGTTGCGGGGGACTCCGGAAGAAAAATTCAGCTTCAACTTATGACGGTCATACTCAGAACCGCTTTGGAAGATAAAAATACTTCAAAAAAACGACGAGAAAACATGCTCATATTCCATGTGTGCTCAGAAGAGAGCTAGGGTCGACGAAAATGGAATACGTATTTCTCAGAGCCAGAAACAGAGCCCAGGGGGCTTGCTCGGGAACAAAACCTCCACAACAGGGGTAGGAAGAACGTTGACGGACACGTTGTCTTGTACCACCGGGGGGTGTTGAAAGGTAGGCTCCGCATCGCATCACCATAAAATATCTGTGCTGCCAAAGGCGAAGATGAGGTTGCCCATACGTGCCATGGCAACAATAGCAAGCATGACGCCAACGACGACGACGACAACACCAACACTCATCATCATCACCAACAACAATCACTCAAAACATACAAGAACAGCCAATGTCGTGTCTTACCACCAGGATCGCCGGAGGCAGCCAAGACTCGGCCCACGAGAAAAGGGGCATGGTCGGTTCCCAGTAGAACAGGCCGACCACGAGCCAGGCGATGGTGCCAAAGCAACAAGCGATCACTGCAAGAAGGTAACACATCCAGTAGGCCACGGTGGACACGACGCGGACCATGCCTTGCAGGGTGGTGATCATGCTGCCCTTGTAGTGTTTCTTCGAGCAGCTGGCCAGACGTTAAGTTGCCGTTGGTGTATTGCACAACCCCAAGGGGAGTGCGGGGGTTGAACGGCGCAAATGCGTGAGGTGCATGAGTTAACAAACCCGCCCAACGGAGTAAAAGATGAACGGTGTGCAGCACACAGCCGCAAGAGTGCGAATGGGGGGTTGTAGGAAGAAAGGCCACCTAAGGTAGAGCCTTGCACTGGATACGTTTGCTGTTACATTGGGGTCAAGATTGATACTGTCGGCACGGTAGATTGTCAATCTCCATGCGCATCGACACATTGCTGTTTAGATAACCGGAGACAGACGTTCTCCTTGTTCTACATGTTCGGTGAATGGTTGCAAAGGGTGGAAGATCTCACTAACTGTGCCGAGAAATTTGTTTAGTAGAAAAACAACAAATCGATGTACCCGAAAATGGACGTGTGCCGGAATTGACATGGGATGGTTCTGGGCGTGTATGAATGTTTGGTTCGAAGCATCTCCGCCATTCCCCTCAATTAGGGGAGAAGGGGAGGACTCATCGGAACATAAACACAAGATTCCTTGCAAAAAACGCAATAATGACGGTAAATCCGACTTGAAGTGCCGAGTACCTCTGACAGCCCTCCTGGGCTACGGCGCATACGACGTGACAAGATCCCTCAGCGGGCTTGTTCTTCTTCTTGAAGAGGCCCTTCCCGACGGAGCACGACTCGAAACAAAGTTCGTAGACGTCGCTGCAGGAACCGAGGGAATGCGACTCCAGGGTCGATGTGGTGCCCTTGCCAGCAGTGTTCCCGGTGCCGAAGTCACGCGTGATGTTGTCCTGTGTTATGACAGAATCAGAAAGCTAATGCAATGTTATAGATCACGGGCCGGATCGTGTTAAACCCAAGACAGGGAACGCATGCGCAAGCAGAGTAAGAGCGACTGGAGGGTGCGTGATCCCTGATGAACGCACCCACCCGGGGTGTCGCGATTTGCCAACAAGGACGGTTTCACGCACCAAGGGATACAATCTGCTTCTGCGGAGCACTCCAAAAGATCAACAACGCGGAGCCAGACAAGAACATTTGTTTGCACACTCGACGGACAAAGTGCAGCAGGTGAATGAGTTGGATGGGGGCTATACCCAAGGAGCAATTGTCAGGGAGAGGATGATCTTGCCCGAATCTTGCCTGGGTTCGAAACGGGGCTTCGATGATGAAACGCGCACAACAGCGGAGCGAACGTATTTTGCGCGCGATCAGGCGACAAATGGACAATATCCTGGGGGCTATGCGCGATAAATGTGCTAGCGGTACGCAGACCTTCTCGGGGCAAGACGACTCGCCAGCAACCAGAAGGTCCAGTAGCAGGGAGGCCTCTGGGTTGGAGGGTTCGATATCCTTGAGGNGGAAACTTCTGGTTCCTCCTGTAGCCTCTGGAAGTCTTTCTGGAAACTTCTGGTTCCTTCTGTAAGCTTCTGGAAGCGTTCTAGATCTAGGTTGCAGTTGATACTCTTCTAGAACGTAGGAGGGCTTCCAGAAATCTTTCTGGACGCATTCTGGATCTTTCGTGTGATTGGCTTATTTGTCCGGTATTCGAGAAGAGTGGTGCAGCCCTAAGCTCGCCCACTCCTCTCATTCCTCTTCAGTACCAGCAACATCAATCCGACTCGGGAGTCAGCAATTAATCTTCATATTTCCATTCCAAGTCTCTCGCGGTTGGAGCCGCACAGAGTGTGATCCTCTGAGGTAGGCTACACAGCCTCCTGGTATCTGCAGCATCGTGCTGCTGCTAGATCACAGCGAAATATCGCTGACA